TATGCTTGGTTATGTGCGACCAGTTTTTTTCGTGTACATTCTTTACATAGTTTCAAAATTAGATTTGTAAATTTAGTTTCACAATTTAATTTAAAGACATTTGTGATTCGCTATGCATTCCTATACGCGCATCTATGAAACACATACACGCACACATACCACTAGGTAAATAAAAAAACGATCTTTAACTGTAAAAATTTTGGATTTTTAATCGACTAACCAGTGAAAAAATACAGTAAATATATATTAATTTTTTTGTATGATTTTGGTAAAACATATGCAACACAAATATTATTTACTTTTTACAAACTATTTTTGCAACCAGTTTTCACGCTGCATGCCGCAACTAATTCAGACATTCTACACATTCCACTATCCATTTTAAATACATATATTTTTTCCACAGTAAGATACATGTAGTAGGTAACTAGAACCTCTGTGTAAAACTTTTGATAATTGTATTTTTTGTGATTATGTGATTATAAATGTATGTTAGAGTATTTATCTTTTTCCGTTTGGTATTAAAACTTTTTGTCATAATTTTCTTACAGCGCACCAAACTCACTCTCCCGTCCAGCCCCCAGACAGAACTACATCTCTGACATTAGTTCACCACTCATTCAGGTAAGATTTTATTACATATATTTATTTTTTATTTTATAACATCAGCATAAGCTGTATAAAGAATTAACACACACACACGCACATACTGTAGGAGGCGTGGAAAAATCTCGAAAAAAAGCAATTTGGGAAAAGCCTAATAAAAAAAAATGATTACAAAATATTCGAGCTAAAAAGTTACATTTCTATAGCATCTTATTTTGTACCTAATTTGGTTTTACAGTTCTAATAAAATTTTTAAAAAATTATTTACCTAAATTGTAATACCGCAATAAACTGGAATTAATTTGCAATAAATATATAAACAGTTCAATAATTATGTTAATTGGAAGCAATCACAGTGCCTAAAATGTTTGCGTAACAAACAAAAATTTTGCTCATTCAAAGTTTATATTGAAAACAAATAAATATTTTAGTATTATAATATTTACACTGGCAGCACAAACAATAGACTCGTCGTACTTTGAAGAGTTTTGGCTATATTTTTTTATATTATTTTATGTTTAATATTTTTTTATAAAAGCCTTTGTAGTTATACAAAAAACATCATATGAATCCCCTTTTTGAACTTTGAGCAAAAATGATGAAAATTCGACAAATTTTTACCAATTTTTCAAACTTTTTATCAGAATTTTTAGAAAAATTTTTGGTATGCAGTTTTCTAGCCCATTCAATTTTAGTATAACAAAGCGCCAGTTTCGATTTTCCCATACAAAGTGTACTCGAACATTTTTTTATATGGAAGAGACTGCCTAGCATCATCAACAAAAAAAAAAAAAAAAATTTCAAAAATCCACGGTATTTTTTAGCCACTTGAAATTTACACTTTACTAAAATTGAATGGGCTACAAAACTGCCTACCAAAAATTTGTCAAAAAATTCTGAATAAAAAGTTTGAAAATTTGGTGAAAATTTGTGGAATTTTTATAATTTTTGTTCAAATTTTAAAAAGCTGATTTATATGGTGTTTTTTTAATAAAAATAATATTTAAAATAAAATTAACTAAAGAAATATAGGCAACACTCTTCAAAGTAAGGCGAGTCTATTATTTCTGCCGCCACTGTAATAGCTTCTTTTTTAATGACACAAGTATGTATTTTAATTAATGCAAGTTAGTCTACATACATATCTATTGAAATAGTTTTAACAACCTCATTATTATTACTCTTACTCCTTTTCAATGTGATGCAAATACTTAAAGGATTTTCTAACGAAACAATATTACACGCTTGGAACGCGGTTGAGTGCGGTAATTAATTTCGAAATGTTTACATTGTTTTGATTTGTACAAATAAATACAAAATTAATTATTCAACAATGCAAATTATTTTTGTTTTTGTTTTTTAATAATTTTTTTTTAATATAGGCAAAAACGGAACGTTTAAAAAAATTACAATATTTTGCTTTTCATAGAATTTTATAGACACAACTTTATAAGCTTTATAATGCACTAGCAGACCCGGTATACGTCGCCCTGCCTAAAATTAAATACCCCGCCCCTTTTCCAATAACGCCCGTTTTTCTACACGGCACGCAAAAGTGTGGCCAAAATTTAAAAAAAAATTGTAGATAGGGCTTTTTTCATCATTATGTTGGCTAAAGGGATTCTCTAAGAATAATTTTTAAAAGTCGGGACAGTGTCCTTATTTTCTATCATCTTTGATTATGACAAACTGGTACTCTCGCCATACTGCAGTCCATCAATCTTGTCTCAATTTGTTTTAAGGTTTTTATAATTAAACTATGGATAATTTTTATTTATTCAGCTCGAGGCCCAGCAAATATGAATGTATATAAAAGTCCAGTTTTAACAAACAGGTTTTTATAACTATTTTTTAAGCTTTTTTTACTTGAATTTAGCGAAAATATAAAAAACTATACTAATTCACTAAAAAAAATCATGATTGATATACATATGTATATTGTCTGTATACACACATTTTTGCGATCATTTTTCAAGTTTTTATATATATATTTTTTTTTTTGTAAGTAAAACTGTATTAAAAAGATGTTATGTCTTTTTATTCTAAAAACAAAATTGTATGTGCGGATTCGATGCTTAGCAGTGTCTTATTTTTAAAATGAAAGATTTTTTGCGCGAAATATTCAGCTTGTAGCCTAGGCAGTGACAAAAAATTAAGTTCCATGTAGTTGATGTAGGCCAATTAAATTCAAGAACACTATATATGTGGGATGTATGTACTAGAGATGGGCGTAGTCAGGAAAATGAATAATTGAATGAAAAAAATTAAGAATAAGTTTTCATTCATCATTTAAACAATTTTGAATGTCGAATACATTTTTCTAAGGTCTAGTTCATTTGCTCACTATCAAATAATTTTTTTTTGTCGATAGTAAAAAGCATCTGCCTACACAACAACAAATAAAAATATAACAATAATTTTTGGCATGTCTTTTTTTGTGGCTTAATTGTAACAATGACGTGATCCATTGTGGTTTTTTTTAGTAGCGTCAACAAGCTTTTACTCCTACTCATGCAGTGTGTGTGCTCATTAATAAAGTAGGAATTTTTACAGAATTTTTTTTCAATTTTTATTATTCTAAAATACATATGTATATATGTATATATGTATATATGTAAATGTATTTTACTAAATTTGACTATTTTTGTGTTTTGTTTTTATTTTCGTAGGAGGATGGCGATAACAAAATGCTGAAATTGCGTTTCGATGTGAGCCAATACGCCCCCGAAGAAATCGTTGTCAAGACTGTGGATCAGAAATTGATGGTAAGTGCCATTGGATTGCAAACACACACACACACACACACACACACAAAAATACAAAGAACATAAAATAACACAAAAATGATCGCACATATAATTAACAAAAACACAATCTCGCGGCTAACCATTGACTACAAAATTACATACATATGTACATATCGTCATCATCTGTGCAAGAAACCCCTATTTGATATGTTTTCAGAAGTATTGGGTTTTAAATATTTCGTTAGTTCGTTCCCAGCTACTCTGCTACATATGCCAGAATTCAAAAAATGTAAAATTTAAAATTTTTGCATTGATGACGGCGATATGCAGAATACAACTCGCATTTAATCAGGCAATAAAACAAGTGCCAAGCCAAAAGCCGCATAGCAAAAACGTATGGTTTTGAAAAAGTATTAGCACTTCGAAAAATAAATTTAAAAAAACTAAAAAAAAACTTAACTAGAAAAGAGAAATATAGTTCATGTGTATGTATTTACATTAGGCTGCCTCACTCTCCATACAAAACATCGATACTTTTTTCCATCGGAGTTATAAAATATATTATATTTTAAGATTTCCGTCAAAATATTTAGGAAAAATATTAAGATTAACGTGAGCTGTATCGATTTGGAAATACCTCCAAAAGTTTGCGTTTTTTATATGTATATAGATAAAATTAGTTTGAAAAAATTTTTTTTTCCCCAAAAAATCCTTTCAGTTGATATGAATCCTTAAGCTTAAATGGTCTACATACAAAAATATTTAAAACAAGTAAGAAAGTCTAAGTTCGGGCGGAGCCGAACATTAAATACCCGGCGCAAATATTATATATATGTTTTTTCACCTTTCCGAAACCTACCGCTAGATGGTAAGCCGGGGTGTATCATTTTTGAGTAAATTAGCGTCCTTCAATTTCGAAATATTGAAGTTTCAAGCATTTCTGAAATTTACCGTTATATGAAAAGCGGCCGTAATTTTAGTCCGATTTCAATAATTTTCAATGCTTCGCTTTCATGTGGCAAGCACAATAACCACACTGAGTTTGGTACAAATTGGTGGAACGGTTACCGATATACATATATGTGATCATAAGTGGGCGGTGCCACGCCCATTTTTCAAAATTTTACCATAAACGTATTTCTTGGTAAAGAATTGTTGCAAGCATCAATTTTGAATAAATTAGCTTCAATATTTACTGATTTATCGAAGATTTTGTATTTCTCTAAATTACCGTTATATGGGATGTGGGCGTGGTTATTGTCCGATTTTAAAAAGTTTCGGCGGTTTTGTATGCTGTACCAAGGCCAACAACTGTGCCAAGTTTGGAAGAAATTGGTGCAGCGGTTACCAAGATATGCACATGTAACCATAAGTGGGCGTGGCTACGCCCATTTTCCAAAAATTTATAATATTCTTATTTTTCGTCTGAAATGTATTGTAAATATCAATTTTGAGTGAATAATCTTCAGTAGTTACTAAAATATCGCAGTTTTCGTATTTCCGAAAATTACCGTTATATGGGAAGTGGGCGTGGTTACAGTCCGATTTCGCCCATTTTCAATACCAACCTACCTTGGATTAAGGGAAACGTACATACCAAATTTCTTTGAGATATCTCAATTTTTGCGCGAGTTATCGTGTACACGGACGGACGGACAGACGGACAGACGGACGGACAGGCAGACATGGCTTAATCGATTTATTTTTTCATCCTGATCATTTATGTATACATTTGTCTATATCTATCTCGATTCGTTTTGGCTGTTACAAACAACCGTTATGTGAACAAAATTAATATACCCGAGTGCACAAGTGCGCTCGGGTATAAAAATGAATTTCATTTATAGGAAAATCTAAATATTTTTTCGTAGTATTTTGGCGCAAGTCTTAAAATATAGTAAATTTCATAATTCCGGTGGAAAGCCCCGCGACTTATTTGGTGCGGCACCCTAATGCATGTATGTACATGTGTGTATATTTTTGGCAAATTTTGTAGTGATCACGTCGCCAGCAGCGCTGACAGTTCGTCAAAAATTAATTTGTAGGATTTGTAGCATCTGTTTTTCCACCTACTTTATTTATCTCTGCTTTATTTCGGATGAATCTCAAGTGTTTGCGTATTTCTGTTTTTTTTTTTTTTTGTTATTGCTCGTCAATTCAAATTTCACTACAAATGTGATTTGCTAGCTCCCTGCCCTGCTCCTCACCAAAAGTATGCCTGCTTGCGGGTTTATATTTTTGGAAATTGACTCATGCTCGTCGTCGCCGATAAGTCGAAAACCACACACACACACAGGCAGGCAAATAAATAATTTAATAAACATTGCCGATCAGCAACAGCATCAGCGTATGCGGTTGTTAGGAATTTTCTATTTTGCAAGATTTTTCTCGAATTATTTAAAATTTATTTGCATATGTACTTGTACATTAGACCGTACCATCTTACAAGCAAACAAAAAAAAAATTCCGTACGTCCCTGAATCTACAGTGTTTTTGCAAGGCAATTTGAGAAAAGTATACATACATACATATGTACATTCGACAATACAAAAAAAAAATTAAATAGTTTTACTGGAATAATAAATAAACGAAATGCCTTCTTGACGAAAGTTTAATAATTTTTAGCGAGCTTCAATTAACTGAAATTAGGGTAGTATGTACCTTAGGGCGATAGGAACTGGTAGGTATGTAAGTACTAGAACGGGGGGTACTTGAGGTCAATGAACTTTGGTACAAAAAAAAAATATTCTCGGTTTAAGATCAGACTGCAAATGGCGGTTCGGCAAAAAAAATGCGAAATATGTAGAAATGTATGCCTTCGTACGTATCTACTTACCTACATATTTTCTTATTACGTAACGTGTGAGTTTAGAGTTAAATGGTGGGTTATTAGACTACTAATGTGTAGTCGCATGAAAAAACAAAATCTCTTAATCCATTATATTTACAGTTGCAAACAAGCGTATGAAACACAAACGATTTGGGTTCAGCTGCAGAAGCTAATAAAATACAATATTTACATTAGAATGAATATTTGCATTTAGCAAATAAAATGGCTTTTTGCACATATATTTTTCTTAATTATGCAAGCATCGTCAAACTTTTATATGTATGCGTGTATGTATGTATAAAGATACTTATGTAGTATATACATATTTGGCAAAAAATAGTAGTGTAGTGGTAAGCAGTGCGCGCTTCCACTCCACAACGCCTGGGTTCAAACCCTGGTCAAAGCAACATCGCAAAAATATAGAAAAAAGGTTTTTTCTTAACAGCGGTCGTCCCTCGGCAGCCAATGGCAAACCTCCGAGTGTATTTCTGCCATGAAAAACAGCTTCTCATAAAAATACAATCGCCGTTCGGAGTCGGCGTAAAACTGTAGGTCCCTCCGCTTTGTGTGACAACATCAAGGCGCACGCCACAAATCGGAGGAGAAGCTCGGCCAAACACTAACATATGTGTACGCGCCAATCTATTATTATTATTAGAGAAGAAAATGAAAAGTATTAGAAGTAGTCAAAAGTGCCTTTTTGTTACAAAATTTTATTTTTGTACATTAGGGTGGTAAAAAAAAAATGTTTAAATGTTAAGCTTTCAACCCTAGGATTTCTCTTAATTTTTTGTTAAAAAGAGAACAATTATGTATGTATATTTAGAACTGCTTCAAAGCCCATGAAGTTTTTTCGTAGACATTGTATAGAATTCTTGAAAATTAATATTTTTATTTCGGAAAACTCTGTTTCTCTTTAGGAGACTTCCCATAATAATACCAAATTTTTTATTTTACCATTTTTTAATGCTAACGATTTTTTATGTGTTCAATATTGCAACTTTTTGGGGTTTTAACTACAAAGGTTACGCCGATAGGTGGCACAGGAGTCGAGATTTTTGAAGTATTTATCATAGTTGCCAACTTAGTGCTTTAAGTACTAAATTTAGTGCTTTTTGAAAATTAAAACGCCGAAAAAATTTTTTTAGTGCCTAGTGCCTTTTTTAGTATTCTTCTTCTGAACTCAAATTTCTCATAGATAGTTAAACATGAAATAATTTGAAT